ATTCTTAGGTGCGATGCATCGCCAGGCTGTTTATCGTGTACATTTAAAGTATATGTGTAACGTAACATTTAAAAAATGAAAATTAAGCATCAAGTCGTCTACGTTTATCTTACTTCGTGCAGAGAGAAAGAGAGAAATGGGGGATAGTCGATGAAAAAGAAACGGACGTGAGTCGTAAAGAAAGGCTTTGGTTATTTACATTGCTAAGTGCAACAAAAAAAAAAAAAAAAAAAAAGAAGAAAAAAGGGAAAAGGAAAAAAAGAAAGAAATTGTCAAATTTGTTTGGAAATTTTAATGCAATAGTTTATGACAACTTAACGAGCCATTCGAACAGCGAAAGCGTAAATTCTTGCTGACACTTATGAAAGTACACTTTCAGAACAATACACGTCTACGTAGTAACGTCTGTCTAAACTACTTAAACGATAGCGTGATCTTTGGCACTGGCAGTAACTGGGAAGCAAAACAAAATAGCCAAAAAGCTGACACTACTTCACTGACTACTTCAGTTGAGCACTAGATATTAATATGTACGTACCACTCGATCGATCCGAGACGCGTGGGAAATAAAGGCGCAAGTCGGTGAACATGTATTTTTTTCTCATTTGCCTTTGATAATCATTTCATGTTTTTGTTTTTTTTTTCTTTTTTGTTTTTTCCTTTTATTATTATTATTATTATTATTTTTTCTTCTTAAGCTCTCAAATAAATGACAAATGGTGGTGAGACTAAAAGTGATGAATTCAACGTAATCCTTTTTCAAACCTCTTTTTATTTATCAAGTCGAGCCAAGTGGCTTTCCAACGAAGGAAAGTACATGATCGAAGACGTTGTTAAGTCTCAGTGTATTAAGGATGCGGTAATGATCGTTCGAAAGACAGATCAGAATTGTTCGTCTGACTTCCGTTGAAATGCTTTAAACGGAAAAGAATTCGGTTGTTTTTTTCTCTTTTTTTTTTTTTTTTTTTTTTGCAAATGCGTCGTCGATCCTTAATGCATCAAGGTGGTTAACAACATCTTGGCATCGCGCCATTCGTACAACATGAAAACTCTGTTCGTATAACAGAGACGATCGTAACAACAACAATTAATTAACGATAATCACCGCGATAGGAACAATTAATTCAATTAGAACAACTTGGGCGTACTTGACTAACATTCGCAAATACCTACCACGTAAAATAAATAATAGATTCATTGTCTTTGTTTCAAGCGAATAATCGAATGGTGGAGAAAAGAGATCGGTAATAATTGGGAGGGATAGGCGAGGCGTTGTATCATCGAAAGTACTCTGTTCGCGTGATAAGTACACCGCTTTTCTCTATTTCTTTTTGGTTTTTTTTTTTTTTCTTTTTTGTATATTAACTGGGCGATAGTAGTAGTAAAGCGTTGTGTTATGTGATTAGTGCTATCGTGTTTCTGTGACCAAGAAGCCAAAAAGAATAATAAACTTTAGATTAGTCGCGGGTTGTAGCGTTTGATCGTTCAGTTAAGGGCGATAACGCATTTTGCACTCGCTCAGTATGCATTTCCAATGAAGCGATCAGAGAATTTGCAAGATGTAGTAAGATGTAGAGAGTAAATAATAAATTAGCGAGTGTCAAGTTACTTCGAGAATATGATTTGCACGACGAATAACGCTTACGTCAAAGAGTGAGAGAGAAATGTTGCCTGCAATAAAATCGTTCTCTAGTTTAAAGGTGAGGGATAGAAACAACGTATTGCTCGCTACAGCTAAATGCAGCTTAAACCGACTTTCGCACGATTCTAGCGAGTTCCAAGGCAAAGTGGTCGAGGATGACTTAATTTACTAGCGTTACCTCGTTATCGGATCGCATACCAACGGATTCGGAAAACGTCACGATGAAAAATTATCTTGTTCGGCTTGTCGCGAAATGTCGTTCCTTTCATTTTTTTTTGTTTTTTTTTTTTTGTTTCTGTGTGTATGTAACACGCTGGCTGTGTGTTGAATTCGAGTGTACGCGAAAATATAGGCCAAAAATTACCGAATGCTTGTCAAATGTAGCAATCGATTGAACGAACTTAAGCCTACGAATATTCACGATTTACGATAGTTGAGTGTATTTCCGCGTAATTCGTTGCGTAAGAGAACACGCGAACGTCTCTGCGAAATCATTAACACCCGATCCATTGTCTGAAATGTCACTCAAAAATGTTGTTGTTGTTGTTGTTGTCTGTTGCAAAGACCGATCGTCGTCTTGAATTTTTTTTTTTTTTTACCAGTTTTATCTTCATAGATCGACGAATGAGAGCGATTGTTCTCCTCGCGAAACAGTCGCGTGTTCTTTTACGAAGTGGCGCGAGCGGGATTCGTTTATACCGATGAAGATCGATGAGAGTAATCGTTTGACAATCTGATAATTAATTGTCTAAAGCGTGGTTCGCCAGGGCGCTCACTTACCATATCCTTCGCCCTGCAGAAATAGTCGGAAGGCCTCGCTTACTTTGCCCGGCTGCTCCTCCAGCACCATTCCGCAGTCGGAAATCTGCCAATTAGACATATTAGATTAGATTAATTGTTGTTATCTAGTTAACGATGCAGCTGATTCGTTTCACTGTTCCACGTTGCAACAAAATCAACAATTGCAAACAATAATTTCGTGAACGTTGTTAGACTCTAGTTTTGATTGACTTGGTATCAAACAAACAAACAAACAAGAATGTCAAGGTGCTTTTAATTCGAACTTCCACCGATATGTGTTAAAGTTATTTTATTAAGCAATTAAGAGAAAGAGTTGATCGAGGGAAGGCGTTATCGCTGAAATTGTGACGAAATACTCGGTAAGATCTCTCCTCGCGGAATTAAACGGCTCCAAACGTGTACAGCCTCTCGGCACAAAGGGTGATTAATATTGCAAGAGCCTCGTACCTTCATCCAAGAGCTATTCATCGGATCTAATCGTCCGTTTAACGTGACAGTGTCGTCGACGTGCGGACTCAAAGCTCCGGTGATATTCATTACAGGTACGCCGAGCGTGAGACCTTCCTTCTTACGCGTTGGATCTAATTCCCTCGTGATGTTCAGATCCGTACGACGGACGTAACTGTCGATTAGCAGTGCTAGATTTGTTGGATTCACGCGGCGCTCAAAGTAGTTCTTGTACACTTGAACAAGGTCGTGGTTCCTCTCCTCCGTGCCCTGAAACACGTTTTGCACATAGTATTCCTTGAATCTCTGGCGATCGGAATTCCTTGTAAAATTAGACGAATTAAATTCCGTGTGAATGAACTAGATGAATTAAATTAGCTTCAATTGTCTCATGAACTGAGGAGGAGATTTTAAACACGTCTTTGGGATACTTTTTGAGAAATGAATATGAGATCATTTATTGAAATTGTGAATACGTTGTCGTTAGGTTGATTGGAAAGTTCTGTCGTTTACGAAAAGAAAGGAACAAATTTTAAATTTGAAGTAATAATTTTATTACTGTTTTAGTACTTGTTAATCTAAATGAAGGTGTAAAGTACACCCATGTGAAAAACTTGGCGGCAGAACTTTCCAATTAATAATCTAATAAATGTGGGACCGCAAAAAATAATCGAGGTTCTTTCGTCAGCTGTGACATAATCCTTGGAAAAATTCCAAGGTCTCGAATATCTTGGTTTCCGTTTTTATAGTCCAACTTCTTTGGCTAACGTATAGGGGCAAAACACTCGTCAGGGTTCGTCATTAGTGCGAAGTAGAAAGAAATTAAAGAAGTAAAAGAAAATAGAATGGAAATAGAAAATACGTTTTTCTTTTCTTTTTCTTTTTCGCACCATAAACCTGACCGACCTTTTCATTTTCTTCTTCTTCTTCTGCTTCTTTTTTTTCTTTCACTTGTAGTAACTACATTAAGAAGCTACGTGTTGCATAATAAGAGCAACGGAATTGCTGCTGACGTTGTAATCTAATTTTCCACGTTGCGTTGCTTGGAAACACTCGACGCCTAAGCTTTCGACAGACTCGATTCCAAGTCGTCAATAATTTATCGGCCTACGTTTCCGCGTGAACGTTGCTTAAACTAACTTGCCTTGATAAAACTTGTGGGTCATCCAGGCTGTTGCCTGTTTCCTTATATATATATACGTGCATACATCAAGCTACTTTGCAGTATAAATTACAATTAAGACAGTTTTATTCAATCTTTCTGCTGATCAGAATGTTACAGCATTTCTACGATGGATAATAATGCAAAAGAGCCAGCAATTATCCGTTTTGAACTCGTTATTAAGTTCGATGTTAATTATATTACAGTTTATTGCCTGTATTTCGTTAAGTTTATTGTAGTATAGGAAAAAAAGAGATGCAGAAATATATAGTAAATACGAAAAATACATAAATAATTATAATGAAATTTGTAAACAGTATTGTCGGAAAATTTTTTCATATCGAGATAATATCAATTTCGTCAACTGTACGTCAGTAAATAAAGAAACGCGTGAAGAAGTAATTTTGTCTTCAGAAATGCAGAGGCATGATTTTGTAAAATATAAAACAGATAAGAGAGAGTTGACAGAATAGAGTAGATATGTTTGTTAATTTGTTAGTTATCTTTTTTCCTTAGCATTTCTAATTAATAATCAAATAATTATATTTGCAATGATTGATTGAATCTAAAAATTCAGTCATTCAAACGAGAAAAGAAAATGTCGAATCTCAGAAATATGTAGAATGTCAGTTGAATATGTATGAATAATTTCTACGTAGATAAATGTATGTCCTCACCCTGCCAAAGTGATGCCACATCAAATAATCCAATACGCCCTGAGTCATGCCCTGTGACCTCAAGTGACGAACATTCAGCTTCTGGTAGCCCCATTCGATCCAACCTGCCTGTGTCGACACGCAGTTTATCAAGCACAGTGCATTAACCTTCTCGGGGTGAGCAAGTGCGAATCTCGCTAGTATGTTGGCCCCGGCACCGACTCCGAAACCGATTACGGATTTCAGGCCAAAATAGCCCAGTACGAAGAGTAGCTGTTCAGCCAGCTCATCCATGGACGGATAGACGTAGCTGTAATACAGTGCAGACACATTTATTGTATCTAATCTAACTAACACTTGGTTTTTTGGAATTATTCAATTCGTCTTTGCGATGTCGTCGTCAGCTTGCAACTGTTATTGATTCGATGTCTCGCGCCTGACACGTTATAGAGAAATATTGGTTTTGGATTTTCGTTATAGAGATAGGGATAGAAATTTTAGGGGGATTGTGCCATGTGTCAATGTTTGAGGAAACTGAATCATGTGGTACGCTTTAATACCTAATTTGAATTAGAATTGATGGTACACGCGAAGCAATTTTCCACTCGGTCTTAACTAGTTATCGTGTGCCAATATTTATCAACGTATCTTGCAGATGAAATGTATCTCTTCCATGATGATATGAAGGTTTATGTTTCCCGCAATATACGTATGTCGTAGATAATGAACATGTGATGTTATTGGCTTATCGATCGCTGTGTTGATTAATCTTACTCTGTTGCTAATTTTTTTTTTTTCCTATCCGTAGATCGTAAGTATGTAGAAGTAAATTACTAACTCTAATTAAATATACCGATCAAAATTTCACATATGCTGAAAATCTTGATACATAATACTCTGCTTTAATGAATTGCAATGATTCGTGGAGTTGATACGATAAGTTTGAAAAATGAACAGTTAAGAAAAATCACAAAATGTACAAGTGCGGATGAGATTGATCTAAAGAGTAGATTAGTGCATGAACAGATGGATAGATTTGCAAGCAAAAACTGACTGGAAAAATTTCTCAAATAATTGTCTGACTATAATAGGCTGTTTAAGAAATATGAAATAGAATCATTACGATCAATAAACTCATCAAACAATAGGATCTAAAAATTAAAATTGAACGAAAGTATAAATATTGTAACAATAGAAATATTGTTAACTAAAGATAAGAATTTTAGAGAAAACTTCATCGGTTAGGTTGGTGAACTTACTTTTACGTTATAATCTTTTTGTTCTTTTCGGTATGAGCGAACAGGCTATCAATAATGAATAAATATAGAAACATGATTTTATTTTTAATTTCTGACGAAGTGTTTAGTTAAGAATTGATTTGAAATAATTATGATATTTTGCCCTTTCAATAGCAAGAATTCTTTCAAGGATCTTAACAAGTAGTTCAATATTTTTAGATTTTTTTCAACAAAATCTGTAATATTAATTTTTAACTAATTTATTTATATTTTTGATGTACTTCAAAAAAAAAAAAAAAATCAAAGAATTAAGAAAAACTACAGGCAAGTAATATTACGAAGAAATTACTATGTAACATCACATGATATATATGAAATAACTATGACTGTCTTAAATTTTTTGATTTTTACATAGCATTTTATGTTTCCATATTATATATAGTTTAAAATATGAATTTTTAATTCAAGATTATACATGGTTCTTGGGTTCTCTGATTAAATTATAAATAGTCGATAGAAATTGTCGGGTATCGATCGATCGAACATAGACACATATATTTGAATAGATACTTGTCATGAAATTTTACGGATTTGGCACGCGAACGGAAACAGTTCGTACTTGCCGGTTGCATGAAAATCTGCATTGCAGTCTAAATTATTCTGTAACACTCTATTTAGCTACGTGTACGTCTGTCGAGGTGAACCTCGATTGTTTGAGGTCAGGTTAATCGGATGTCGTAGGTGGACACCGTCAATCTTTCAATTCTTCGGTGTAAACGACACTCAGCGATTGTGTCACATGGTTTTCGAAATTTTCTTCATCGACTATCAGTCGTAATCGTTGGCATTAGCATAGAATACTTTCATGCTATACGCATCATATCTGTCACATTCTGAAACGTGATGAAATGCGAATTGCTAGAATTTAAAAACCGATCTGCGAACGTGTCTAAAAATATCGTTCAAAATCTAGTTCACGTAACGATCGGTACGAAATGATTTTCGAGCAACTTCGAGAACTGGCTGAGTTGCCTGATTTCATGAGAAATTGAACAACGAAACGGGGAACTGCGCAACAGACGGTAAGATCGAATCCGTAGAAATGCAAACGGCGATAGAGGGAAAAGCTCAAGAAAGAACTTGCCGCGCAGCCATGAGGCGAATAGGAGAGAGACTCGCTCTTGAGGCATGGAGGAATTATCCGCGGTACACGCTAAAGTAGGCACATAGCCAGGGCTTCGACTAATTAGAACGTTAATTAGGTCATTGATTTGCACTAATTGAATTCACTGTCGTCAAGTGGCGCGCGTGTACGATGTTCTTGAATGAGACTTAGACGTACGCGCGTATGTGCGCGTGTGTAAAAAATCGTCGGGAAATCAGCTTCCCCTAGTTTTTATTTTTCCTTCTTCGTTTTTTTTTCTTTTTTTTTTTTTTTTTTTCGTTTCGTTCCGTCACAGCCATACCGCGCGTTAATTAGCGAACTCGTTACTCGGACTTCAAGGGAATTCGCTCGTGAATCCGATTGACAATTGGAACTGGTCGTTTATTGACTTTGAATGTGGTTGCTCGCAGTAACGCGTTGATTCGGTCACATTGGAGAAAGAAATTGATATCTTGTAGAAACTGTTCGCCGATAAAAGTTTGTGTGAAAATTGGAAGGTTATTGCAAGGTTATTACACCTCCGATATTTAAATTCGTATTTATTGATAAAGAACGGGGAAGCATTCATTTCGTGTCCAAAAGTACAATAGTTTCCTTTTTACTATGAATATTGGCAAATGAATTTATAACACGTTTTTAAATTTGATTCGATTTTTAATTGGCGGAGCAACTTCTTTTACTATTAAATTTATTCGAAAAATCGATAAAATTAGAAATATAAGAATTGTAGTAATAATTAAGAAGATCCGCGAAGTTATAAGAATATCTAAAAGTAATCGAAGTGTGAAGAGTTAAAATTAATAAAGTAAATAAAGTTTTATTGACTATCCTTTTCTTTTGACTCGACTCAATTATTGTCAGTTCATTATGGCCGAAAACAAACAAAATTTTGATAGAAAATGTACTTACTCCTCAGGCAGCGTGGGTGCACCTTCTTCTTGACCCGGTGCATTCACATGATAAACGCAAAAGTTTTCGAGTAAAACTCTCATGTCGATGTAATTGAAGAACGCCTGGAAGCTCGATATATCTGGAAATAACGATCCACATTTTTCATTTTGTCACAGGCAATTAAAAATCTCAACCGTTTTGTTGAGATCAAACTCACTTGAAACCACCTATTTCTCTCGTGTAACAGCAATAAAATAAATTGGCAGTAAAATGCAATTAAGTCAAAAATTCTATATTAAAATTCTAAATTGTTACGGCGCTCAGTGTGCAATATTATTGTTCGGTAAAATTTTAACACTAGCATGTATTTTTTTTTTTATTTTGAAACTCAGTAAAGTTAAGCAAATGCAATTACACGTTGAATATTAAATTGAGGAGCAGGAAATTTATTGCTATTTGTTACAAATATTAAACTACAAGATGATATTGAAATATGCTTTACACATGGATTTAATTTGCGGATTAAAAAAATATAAATTACTCACAGTTAAGGCCTAAGTCGTGATAAGTGAGAATGGCAGGTTTTGCTCGGTTCCCTTGTACAGCCACCAACAGACTCCCCTTGTCAGTTTCAACCCTTTCCTCTCGCACGGAACTGTCATCTCTCGACAAACATCTTAGCGGAGGAAATTGAAGCTGAATATTTTTCAGTTCGATGTCGTCCATACTATCTGAGGGCATCGTGCTGTGTGCATGAAAAGAACTCCCTTAATCCCTTGCCTACTCAACTACACCTAAATCAATCGAGACGTTCTCGACGCGTGTGCAAACAAATCGCGATGACACTGAAGGTGTGCCATCTCGAGCGAGATTTATTTCTCGCTGATGTTTCTTGGAACACATAGCGGAAACATTATCTCTATCTATGAGAAAGTATGCAGAGTACTCTGCTTAGTTACTTTGTTATCACTCACTTTTAAAAGTGTCATTCTTATAATTGCTACCGAGGCATGTTGTAATTGTCTAATATTTGGTTGCTAGATTTTTCTCTTCACTGTTGACTTTTCTTTTTATCTTTCTTAAATAACGGAACAATTCAAGAAGAGCAAAGACCTACGATTCGAACCGAAAGTTTGAATTTTTAAAGAATATCATGGCAACTGTGGGAGTAACGATTATATTTAGAAGAATTAATAAATCAAATACGCGTATAAGAAGGTTCAGTAAGGAAGAGGAAATAATCGTCAGAGCAGAAAAATGATAATTCAACCATTCAAATTTTTTTTTCTATATTTGCCTACTTTATTTTTAACTTTCTCGAATGTGAAACCTCTTCTTACTAATATCACATTTTGACTATGCCAGATAAATGTACTATTAGGTTAAACATAGAATGGTGAGAATGTGTTAACACTGAAATACGCAAAAGTTGAACATGAAAAGAATCAGTGACGTGAAACGCGTTATTTCTTGTTGCTTGTTCTCTTTTCATTCACGCTACAGGCCGAAGTATCATCAAATATTCGCTACGTCAACACCGGAATATAAAATGTGCCAAGCTGATGCTTTCAGCGGATCTGAATGGCCAGTCTTGTAGATTTTTGTCCCTTTCAGAGTATCGTACAAATATTTCGCGAATAAACCTTTTGTTCTCTTCTCTCTGTTTCTCTTTCGTTAGGAATTTTATTTTTGTTCGCAACAATTTTCCTTTGTTCCTCGATGCTCGTTAGAAGTTTCAACAGTTTGATAATTACAATTGTTTAAACCAAATAAAAATTATGCCCACAAGAACAACTGTCATTGTTACACCATCGTTCTACAACTTCTCGTTAATTGATAATATGCGAATCGCATAATCATGATGCAGTTGTAATCGCTACGTAATTGCTTTCTAACAACTACATCGACTATATTGCAATTTATACGAACGATTATCGACGTAATTCATATTCATTCAATCCATGAATACATAAGATTACACAAGTGCGATCTTGCCATGTACGTTCGTAATTAATTAATTGAGCGATTAATGTAGCAGATCACACTTTCTACATATCAAATGTCACGAACGTATCATTTTCTATTGATGTGAACCTTGATCATTTCATGAATATCAAAGAAGCGATTATTCTACTTTGAAGTTTAAAATATTAAAAAAAGTTTAAAATATTAAAAAAAAGTTTAAAATAAGGATTTTTCACACGTATCTTTCTACGAATTATTTATGTGTTTCATCGAAGATATTTGAAGAAATTTCTAATGATTTTCCATATTGTGGAGATTTTGTATAACACGTGATATGTCACGACTATCGTGATTACGTTGTCGAGGCTTGAAGAAACGAATTCGAAAATGTACCTCGAAATGACTAGGGATATTTACGTAGTGATGATTGAAATTAAACCTAGGTACAAAATTATTTCATCCAAGTATGATAAGAAATATCATACTTTGAATATTGCACCTAAATATTATACATAAAAACCCGCAGTCCAGAAATTCAAAAGTTTTCATCATATAGCGCTTAATATATACAAACAAATTCCCTCGGACAAACATTTAAATACTATCACACTAGTCGCTGTATTTTTCCATAATTGGATCATCGATTGCACTTGCTATGTCCGTGATATCGTTGTGTGACGAAGGGTGTAATCGGTCGAGCGTCCACGGAAGTCGAGGATGATCCGCGTTAAAACTCGTGGTAACGCGCTTAATATAATGAACGCGCGCACGCAAAGTCGCGATACGTTAATAATAAAAAAAAGTTGCCGATGCGGAGTGAGCTTTTTATGGTATTGATTCCGAGGACCACGCCCTATCGTGAGCATGGCGTTGCACGGCCAGATCTCTGGCATGTGTTTCTGAAGATGGCCCGTGTCATCGAGCCTATGCACAGAGCAGAGCCACGTGCCTTCATTCTGTACGGTGGCGGTCTTCTGATTCGTGTGCGCAATTTCCCTTTGATGCCTGCACTTCTATTCAGCTGTAGACACATTAAAGAGGAAACACACGAAGCACCGCGTTCTCCTTCGTTAAAGCTCCCGTAATGTTCAAAAGTGCATTTCACTCCCCGGTGAAATGGCCCCGTTTAACGTCCGTTTAAGTACGCGTTCATTACGCCAACCGTGAGTCCGTGAATCGAGAGTTCTGATTTCCCTCCCATCCTTTCATTTCCCTCTGACGGACGCGTCTGTGGTTTTTGCGACAACTTTTGCTCATCCTCTGTGTTGTTTTTTTCTTGATTTGTAAAAGATGAGAAGCTTGTGTACAAGACAGTGAGAGTTAAGGGTTACTCGAGTCGAGCTAATTCGTCAGATCATTCGTGATGCAATAAACAGCGAATTATATTGCGTGGAGTGTCAACTCGATGGTGTAACAGGGTCATAGCTCTCCTCGAAGATGTAATTTCTCTTCATCGAAAGATCAGATGTTTCTCCAACTAATTTCAATATTCTCAGTTATACAATTGCATGTATATCGTTTTATTTCTGAGATGGTTATTCGCCAACTTTTCTCATCAAATTCGAAATACGCAGCATTCTATCGTTCTTTTATTATCACATTGAAAATACTGTCTCGTACTGTTTCGCACATCGTTTCATCGTCCTTTACAGTTTGAAGACGTCGAAACCCAGCTGACTCCTAGTTACAAGAACGTATATCAACTATGCATCCTGCGATAAAATCAATAACACGAACGTGCGATCTTTTTGTTTCAAGCGAAATATTTCCTAATATAAAATCGAGCATGCGAGAACAAGCGGGAATTAATTCGATCGTGTTAACCCGGGTTCGCGTAGTTGCGCGACGCACAACTTTCTTCGTCTAATGCTCGGAAGAATCTACATTGACCTGTATTCCCGAGGATTTACGGGGCGACCCAATTCAGTTTACCGGGGAAATGTCAGGAACTCAGGCTGACCTGTTCCCTATATACGCTGGCGCTTCTGCGAGTTTCGAGGGAGATAAAGGAACGCTGCTCCCTTCCTCGCGCGCGGAATATCAGTGAAAATACCATCCACTGACCTCGTAAAGAAGTTACTTTCTTCGAACGGATTCCCGTGAGTGATCCTGCCCCTTTTGTTGAACGTTTCTTTTCCTTGCTTTATCATATAAGAGGGCAGCGTTGCGTAAATTGCTTCTCCAATAACATCATTCTCGCCTCTCTCTTCTATATAATTTTCTCTCTCTCTCTCTCTCTCTCT